TAGCTGAGGACAATCCCTCTGATAATGACCACTAGATCCACACTGATAGCAAATACCCATCTTCTTACGACACTCTCCTGTGTGTTGTTTACCGCAATACTCACAGAGGAACCCATGATAATACGACGAGGAACCGCCTCGACTGCCAACTAACGGTGAGGACGCTGCAGGCCTGAAACGTGTATTGCTTCTCGGAGGGACTGAAGTACGAGTCCTTTTCCCGGATTGTGCTGATGACTCCATCGGGCCTGAAAATTTCTTAGATCGTTCCTGTTCAACACGCTCTCTACCAGAAGCTAAAACCTCCACCTCTTCAGCATCTTTGGCTCTGCCTACCAGCCCATCAAATATCTCATCCTGATGGGTTACAACTTGCTTACGCAGCTCGTATCTGAGTCCAAGGGCAAATTTACGACATCGATCTCTCTCAGTAGGTACTATACTGAATCCATACTTCAGCAACTTCAAGAACTCGATCTCATACTCAGAAACAGTCATGTCTCCCTGAACCAGGTCTTGAAACTGCTGACGTCTCTGAGCTAAGTAGCGTTCTCCCAAAAAACGACTCCGAAAGCAATCCTTAAAGAAATTTCAAGTCAAACGATCGGTAGGAACACTACTGGTCACTGACTCCCACCAAGTATAGGCATTGCCATCTAACATCACCACATCACCCTGATATCTCTTAGTTGAGTCTAAACCCAACTGATCCATGCGTCTCTCTGTATCCTGTAGCCAATCCTCAGCTTCAATAGGAGCTCCACCAATCTGTCCCCCAAAAATTCTAACTCCATTGGCAATCAAAGTCTGTGAAATATGAACCTCGGATACAACACCAGTAGCTCTAACTGCTCCCTGTATTAATTGCAGAAACTGTCTATCAAAATTCTCATCCAATGCAACTCTGGTAGGCTCGGACTCAATATTCGTCGCTCCTATGATCGGTGAAGTCATGCCAATACCAGCGGCATGAGGCAGATTCGTTGGGGTCGTAGGAGCATGATCACCTATCGGAGGTGGGGGATCTACCCGTATCTCATCGATCGGATCTGTAAATCTAGCCACTCGACCACGTCCACGGCTAGTTCGACGACCACGTCTAGCACTCATTTTTTTGGTGGATCTCGAGTTTACTACAGGAGATAAAACTTAGGGTTAGACAAGCACTTGGAGTCTCGAACACAGTTAAAATCTTAATAACTTATGACATGGCCTTCGTAACTTGTTTTGTAAAATATTTCAAAACCGTATTTTCAATGTGGACTCTTACACAGTCCGAGGGTTAAAAACCAAAAGCTCTGATACCAATAAATGTAACCCCCTAGACCCGGCCTATGCGTTTTGACTAAGTCTAGTGGATCACATTATGATTCTTAAAGACATTTTCTGAAACCGTTATTCAATCAATGTAAAATCACATTATAAATGTCATGAAATAAATTATACCATAAAAACCCAATTTGTAAATATAATACCAATAAGTAATAAATTAATTTAAAACAGGTATTCAAAATCAAAATCATAATAAAACGAACAGTAATAGCACAAGTGTCATCATCCTAAAATACGATACTTTAAAATAAGGTCTATGTCACCAAAATAAAGTCAACTAGCAAGATAAAACATTACAATCAGATATACTTCAAGAGATATGTTGATCCTCCAAGTGCTCAAACCGATGTATCTAACCAACAATATCTAAAAAGGGGAAAAACATTTTCGAAAAGTGATCTAGGCTCAGTGTGTCCCAATATTACCTTAAAATCACAATAGGTACATTAAACAAATCATAGTCCAGTAAATATCATAAATTCATAAAAGAGTTTAACTTTTAAAAATCATAGTTTAAACATTTTTCTTGTACACCATCAGTAATTTCCAAAACTATTTTCCATATAGCTTACTCTAAGCACACAGCAAAAAGAAAGCCAACCTAAGGATAAGCTTTAGAGCTTGTATCCTTAAGCCCGTAAGTCCAAGTCCATATAGCTTACCCTAAGCACACAGCAAGGGAAGCCAACCTAATGCATCTTGGGGCCCCAAGAGTCACATTAGGCCCATTCTGTTTATTAGCTTGATCAGAGCTATACTATTGTAATTCAATCCAAAAGTTCAATTGCACTGTGACACAAATTCCATAAATCATCACATTAAATTGGTGCATCAATAAAACAGTAACCAGAGAACTCAGTGTACCTCATATTAAAACCAATAAAACAGTTCAGTAATAATTAGGGAACACACCTTGATAATAGGTTCAAATAGTAGATCTACTGATTGCTGGTTTCACCACGCTCTGCTACAGTTTTCGAACCTATTTTATAATAACACTATATTACTTATGGGTAACATAAATAAATCTCTAAAATCATAAAATTTACGGGTCTTACGGGTGAATACTGGCACACGTGGTTTAATTGATCTAGAAGAGTTGGGTCGAGCTGTCGAACGATCCGGAGAGTCTCTTGTACCTTCAAACAATAATAATTTATCAACCTCAAATCTTACTTAATTGTTCAAAGCTAAATTCTTAAGTATATAAGCATTTTCAGGGTTTAACTATCAATTTAGAGGATTTCGGGTTTGAATTTGGCAAAACGGATTGCGGAATCAGGACGTCGAAAAACATAAAGTATGTCTTTTCGAAAATTTAAATTCTTGGTCAAAGTCAAAGTCAACCACTTTGACCGTCAATTTGGAGGCCTTCGGGTTTGAATTTGACGAAACGGACTTCGGAAACGGATTCAGGACGTCGAAAGCTATCAGAATAGTTATACTCGGAAAAGATTAACGGTCGTTTAATGGTCGGTCAAAGCCATTTTAAGTTTTGGTCAAAGGAAGTCAACGGTCAACGGTCGGGTCAACGGTCGGGTCGGACCGGTCAGACCGGTTTTCAGCCACTCACTCTCCCTGCGGCGGCGCGTGTGGCGCGTGAGGCCTCCTCCGGGGGTCTAAATATTACGGAAAAATTTCTAAAAATTATTTTGAGCGATTTTGAGATACTTACAAAGATCGGTTCAAATTTTTGAACGGCGGAGAACTCGATTTCAACTCGGCCGAATCTTTGACTGCTCCACCCCCTCACGCGCCGCCGTCTACGGATACCAAGGTTGACACCGGCGGACTCGAAACGGCACAAGGAACACGATGGTGCGGGAGGTGTCGAAAACCGATCAACGATCGGAGATGAATTTAAGATTTTCTCGGCGGTAGTGCTAAAAAAACGTCGAGACTTTGACTCGAAATTCACGTCGTTTGACAGCGTTTCGCTATAATTGATTTACTGAGTTTTGTTCACGGGTCGAAGATGAACACGACGGTGGTTTTAATTTTACGATTGGAGGTCGAACGGCGTCGGGATCTAAGTCGGAAACCGGCGTAGGGGGAAGGGAATTTGAGAGCAATTGAGGTGTGGTTTTCTGTTTTGAAACAGAAAACCACGTTTATAACATAACATACCTAACTTTCTTGGGTAAATTCAAGGTTTGGTCCCTGCATTTTCTTTAACTCTAAAACAAGCTCCAAATTTTAAAATCTTTCAATTTAGTCCCCACAATTTACCGATTTTCACAACTAAATCCTCCAATTTCAATTAAATATTATTTTGAAAATATCCGGGTTGTTACACCCTAGCTCATTTAGCTTCAAAACCATCCCAAAGCATTCTAGCTTTCTTCCAATACTAGAGAGAATTTAGAGAGTTTCTTTAGAGTTATTTTCTCCTTTTTATCAAGAGAGAATTATCATTGTTTTCTCCTTAGTAGATGAAGAGAGGTTGTAATTCCTATTTTATCATAGTAAAATTCTTCTACCGTTGCCCGTGGTTTTTACCCTAAATTTTTAGAGGTTTTCCACGTAAATTTTATGTCTCTTTTATCTTCATTTTTATTTTCTCAAATTATCAGTTGCGATATTTCCTATATCCGATAGCCATCTTCCGCAACATAGTTTTAGTCTTTAGATAAGACTAATCCTTAATTTATTAAAAAAGTATAAAATAAGATTTGGTTTAATTGACTCAGTTGCATGATGCCGAGCCCTTTTGAATTCTCTGTTCATGAATTGTTTTCCCTAGGAATTTTCTTAAAGATGCTATACAACATAAATGATCTATATTTTCCCAATAAAATAAAATATAGATTTATGTACACAATCAGATGATAATCACTTTGTTAAAAAATCAAGGTTATAAATTGTATTTGAAATAAGTTATGAAATTATTCTTACAAAAGAGTATCTCCTATATATACGTATGTATATGTTACAAATTATAAAGAATTAAATTGATATTATGATTTATGTAAAAAAAATTGATATTATGAAATAATAAACGATATAATACTAAAATTAGTTCACCATGTTTATTAAAATAGTTATTTTAAGTTTTTTTTAGTATTTTGACCTTAAATGATTCATTTTAGGATAAAAAGACCCATAACATTTAATTGAATAGTCATATTGGCCATATTAATTTTCTTTTTAAAGTATTTTGATTCTCAATGTTTCGTTTTAGGGTAACAAGACTCAATTTTTTAACATTAACAGTTTGTTAACTAACGATTTCTATTCATAAAACGTTAGGACCAATATACTCTCCAAGAAAAAGAGCTAACAGTATTTACGCCTCAATAAAAATACCAACTCATTCAATAAATTATGAATTAAACTTTTACCTAATGACGAAAGCTTTAAAAATTAGAAAGCCAAGAAATTCAAGTTTCAGCTCACGTGAATTTGATATTTATGTTAAAATTGCCAATTGTATTTGAAAAACCAACGCATACATATTTCCCGAAGTAAACAGGTTGATAAATATTAATCATGGAAACAAATTCAAAGACTGTACTGTAAAAATATATTATAAAATAAAACAAATATATTTGGAAAAACAAGATGAACAGTTTTTTTTTTACTAAGTCAAATGAGTTTTATTGAAGAGATAAATAGTATAATCAAAGATCGTATCAGTATCTTTATGCTTCAGTCAAAGGAATGTATAGTACTCCTTTACTGATCTTATTATTAGATATTCATTCACGGCAATCTGGTTCAGTAATGGTACAAAGTAACATTGAACTCCACAATCGTATCGCCTGTCGTCAAATTCAAAAAGCTGTTCCGAATAAAAGCAAACCCGCTGGCCATCCGAAACGCACCTCTCCCTCCCACAATAGCCAATTCACGAACTGGCGGTGAAGACGGATTCCTTGAGAACAAACTAAAGGAGCTGCCATTGAACCTGCCACTCGTAAACGCAAAATCGGCATACATAACGGCAGTGAACATGGCAGGGTCTCGACTCGATGATACGTACATTCCTTGAGCGTTTCCTATGATCTCCGACGTCGGTTCAGGCCCTACGGTGAGGGGATCGTCGATCGCAAACAAGCTTCCGAATGAAATTGAGGACCCTGTGATGTTGGGACGGGATATCATGACAGCACTAGGGTTTTGGCCGCTGAGGATATCATGAAGGAAGAAGTGGAGTCGGGTCATTCGCTCCTGCCGAGGAGGCGGCGTAATGGTTTCGGAGTAGTATTGGCCATAGACTGGTGCCATGGCGAGGAGAAATATCATGGCCGATGCAAAGATAATATGTTTCTCCATATTTCTTCACAAGATGTTTTCCTCGAAAATATTTGGTTTTCTGGTGTCTTGCTGTGCACTGCAGGGCTTTATATAGAATTTGTGAAACGCCTGAAGTTGTTGGTTGCCATTTCCTTTTCATAAATTGTGAATGAATTTGTAGAAAACAATATGATAATTTAACAAATCAAATTGAATATTTATCACGAGACAAGTGATTGTTTTTAACACAATTGAATTAATTTAAATTAGATAAGCATCAGAGATATGATTAACTTTCTATTTCTTAATATACTCCACCTATGGCCCTTAAGGGAAATAAAGAAAACAATATTTATGAATAATATTATTCTTTTCACAAATTTCTTGAGAAAGTTAAAAGTTGTAACTTTATTCTCATTAAATGTAGTCTCAATCACAATTAAACCTTCTCAAATGTCTTTTCCCTACCTATTCTTCATTTTAAGAAAGTATAAATTTATCATATTTAAAGACTAGTTTAATGTTTGTCGTATTCAATAATTCACACTAATTAAATTTTTATGTAGGATAGGTGTAATACTCTCAACTCGGTCTAGACGAAAAATCAAGTTTTGGATGTCACATCTATTGATCATAACATAGTAAAATTTGAATCGAACTAAATCAAACAATCTCACATTTAAACAAACCACAATCCTTCATTTAGGGACTAAAGCATCATATTAAACAATGAGGGTCTAATTATAAATCAAAATATCAGAAGGGGTCTAAAATACAATTTCACACATTTTGAGACTTAATTACAAAAACTCAAAATTTAAGTAGGCTTAGAAAGAGAGAGAGAGAATCAAATTAATTTGTTAGTGAAGACACTATAGCATCGATACCATCTATAAAGCATTAATATCTAATTGAAAGTTGAATTTCCAAGAAAATAATTATAAACTTATGGTACCAACACTCCTAAATAGGTAACAATACTAACACCTGATATCAATACTTGTATAAACAAAACTCAAAATATGAAATAATCTTTAATTTTTTTGTATCGATGCTCTTATTTGGACGTGTATACAACAAATCAAATTAAGAAAAAAAAATGCTTATTAAAGTCCAAAATCAACATTTTACCATATAAAACCATCTTGCGTAATTGTCATCATCACTAAACATGAAACCATATCAAATGCATACAAATTACCTTTAAATATATTGTAGGTTAGAAACAATATATTTTGAGAACTTATTTTTAAAATAATCCTTTAATTAATTAAAATTTAACAACGCTTAATTAGCTGATTAGCTCTTTAGCAAATTTCCATGACGTACCTATTATGATCTTAATATTTTTAGAAATAAAAAAGTTATCCCTATTAATTTTTAAACACTCTTAGAAGAACTGAATATATATGGAGAGAGAGAGAGAGGTTAATGGTAATATGGTATCATTTAGTTTGATTAGTTAATCAAATTAAAGTCATCCATTTGGCTATCATTTCTTTCAGTACCCGCCGGAACTGCTGGTACCGCTTTTGAAGGACGATGACCCCGTAGAGAGGGCTGCAACCTTGGTTACTGTTTCATAGTTTTTAGTCGTTAGTTTTATCTTCACTCCCTCTGCAATAATAATAATAATAATAAAGTCATCGAAGTTTACGTCTCAAATTAGTATTAATAGATTATTTAATATATTGACGAAGTCATAAGATAAATTTAGTAGAATTGAAGATTGGTCAAGGTCTTCATTGAAGTTTACTTCTCAAAATTAGTATCAATAGATTATTTAATATATTGACGAAATCATAAGATAAATTTAATAGCTTTTAGGCCTAGCTTTGAAGCCTAATTGAAATATTGCCAATAAAGCTATCAATCTTTAATATTTAACATAGGAGCTAATGTGGATGTTAAACAAATTAGTCTAATTATTTACCCATTTATACGTTGCTTAATTATACAAAATTTTTAACAGTCATGTTAGTTTATCCGTTAAATGTTAATGACATGTGGCTTGATTAGCAATACCTAAATAATTAAATGGTCTGATTAAGAAAATTAAAAGATTGATGGTCAAAATAAAATTCATCCATAGTTAAGTGGTCATGGGTGTAGTTTATCCTATTTTTAACACCCATAGTCTTTTGGATTTTGAGACTAATTCAACGAAATGAGCTATGGGATGAGAGTAATTACCTATTGCTTATGTGTGAAGAATTCAAAATAATGGTCGACTATATAATTGTCAAGACTAAGAAGAAATCAATTAGCTACATAATTTAATAGGTTGCATTTGGACTTGAAGAGTAAATTAATCAGCTACCTAATTTAATAAGTTGCATTAAACTAAAAAATTATATGAGGTTCTTAGACTTTTGGTTTTACATGTATTTCTAATGAAGAAAGTCCTAACAAGTTATGTATTCTTAGACTTCTTAATGATATAGTCAACAAAATTATAAAAAGAATGTAAAATAAAAGATGTATAATTACAAAAAAATGTCTGTTTCTTTTACTTTTCTTTGAAATAGAAAAATAAATAAAAGGATAATTGGTATAGATTGGCTTCTGGCCTTGTGAGGGGATATTTGGTTTGAATACACAATTCTAATATTTGCAATATGATAAAAGAATAATTATTTAATATACTAGCGGTTGAAAATTTTTAAGACATTAATTAAGTACATACAATAATAAATTAAAATAATTTTAAAAATAAAAATTCTCTCTAATATATCAAAAAATAATCCATATAAAAAAGATTATCATTTTAGTTCTTGAAAAAAAAACACAAAATAATTATTATACAATACATTATATATGCCTACACGATAACTCACAATTGAAATAAACGGTGGATCTACAGCAAGTTTAAGGTGACTATGTATCTATCTTAATTTTTTATTTGTTATATATTTTTATTAGTTATATTTATTCTAAAATTGTATTTATGTTCATTCACTATAAAATTTGTATTATTAATATATATATATATATATATATACATATATTTATCTTTAAAAATATTTATGAATCTAATATTCTTCGATAATAATACTCATTTAATTAAAGCCCCAACTCAATCACTCTCACAAATTCGTACCCCTATTTAAACTTGTTGGTGATGGATCGAACAACAGAACGATGTTTGATCGGCATCAACAGTACCCAAATTTGCATTCCAATTACAATAATTTTTATTTGATCAGCCAACTTATTAAATACTAATGCAATATGTTCTTACTTTATGTGTTGCTTAATACATAATCCCTAAAATATCATAAATGTTATTTAGATAATATAAATATTTTATTTAGAGGCGGAATACAATAAAAAATCATAATGTACTTAGGAAGTTTTATGAGTTTTCAGGACTGAGGTTAAATGTTGCTAAATCTCAATTATTTGCTTCAGGAGTTGCAGAGGATCAACTGGAGTTAATTCAAAGGGTGACTGGTTTCTAGCTTGGAAAATTACCTGTGAGGTATTCGGGGGTGTTTCTTTCCCCTAGGAAACTGTCTGTTAAGGATTGTGACAATCTTGTGGAGAAGGTAAAGGCAAAGTTGAGGCAATTGGCTAATAGATTTCTTAGTTATGCAGCTAGATTGCAGCTCATTGGTGTTGTACTGTTCAATGTAGCTAACTTTTGGTGCATGCAGCTTGTATTGCCTGCAGCTGTGGTGAGCAGGGTTGAACAACTTTGTGCTAGGTTCCTGTGGAAGGGAAATAATGTCTCTGCTAGGGGAGCTAGAGTGTGCTGGGACAAGGTTTGTACACCTAAAGCTGAAGGAGGGTTGGGGATTAAGAACTTGAAATGCTGGAATAAGGTTTGTATGCTCACCTTACTAAAAAGGATTCTTGTTGGAGAAGGATCTTTGTGGGTGGCTTGGATTCGGGAGTATGTTCTCAAAGGAGATAATGTTTGGTAGGAGATTAGCAACCTAACTTTTAATTGGGGATTGAGGAAAGTTTTGAAACTCATAAGTGCGTTTCACATGCTGTTTACTGGTGCAAACAGTTTAATGAGGCAGACTAGGGAGTATTGGAGTGAGATTAGAGTGAAAAAGGATAAGGTGGCTTGGCACAGGCTGTTGTGGTTTTCATTGAATGTACCTAAGCATTCAATCATTGGATGGATGGCTTTTAGACAAGTTGCCCACTGTTGATAGAATGATGAGGATGGGCATTTGATGAACTTTGTCAAAATTGTGGTTGTATGCTGGAGACTAGAAACCATATTTTCTTCTTCGAATGTGTTTTTGCAAAGGAAGTGTAGAGGGTCATTCTTAGGCTCTACAATGTTAATAGGGAAGTGAGGGATTGAGAGGGTGAGATTACTTGGGCTGTGGCAGTTTTAAAAGGCAAGTCCTTGATTGTTTTCATCCTCAAGGTTGCTTTGAGTGCATACTGTTGCGGAAGACGGCTATCGGATAGAGTAAAAATGCAATTGATAATTTGAGAAAATAAAAATTGAAGATAAAAGAGACACAAAATTTACATGGAAAACCCCTAAATAATATAGGGTAAAAAACCACGGGCAACGGTAGAAGAATTTCACTATGAGAAAAATAGGAATTACATCCTCTCTCGATCTACCAAGGAGAAAACAATGATAATTCTCTCTTGATAAAAAGGAGAAAACAACTCTCAAGAAACTCTCTAAATTCTCTCTAGTATTGGAAGAAAGCTAGAATGCTTTGGGATGGTTTTGAAGCTAAATGAGCTAGGGTATTTATAGTTGAAGTTTTAAGGACTAATTTGTAAATACCCTAAACTTTAGTGACTAAACTTTGTAATTTTCCCATTCTCATTTTCAACAATTACAACCCCTTTTTTGACTTACCATATTTCGGTGGATTTAATTAATTTTTTTTCTCCAATTTCAACTTGCACCGAAAGGTGCATTGAATTTTCAACAATCTCCCACTTGAAGATTTGATTAGAACAATCATATCTTCATACCATTCTTTCTACCTAGTACCTTCATGTTGCTTACGTCTTTGACAGGCCACAAGAGGATCGGCACCAAGTAAATTTATCAGCGTTGATCGCCTTTGTCATGAAATCTGCTATGTTGTCTTTGGTATGGA